TGTGTGTGTGTGTGTGTGTGTGTGTGTGTGTGTGTGTGTGTGTGTGTGTGTTTTAGATTTTCCCCGCAACAGCCCCAATTCCACCCAGATGCCCCACAACAGCCCCAATTCCACCCAGATGAATAGATTCAGAATCAAAGCAATCTTTGTGTGTGTGTATTTTGTCTGTTCCGAGTCCACGCACGTGTGTGCTTTGTCTATTCTCAGTCTAAACGCTAAACAGCCTATTCAGGTTGCTTTACTTCCGATTCCAGGCACACGTCAAGGCCCTTATTCAAAATCTGAATCAAAAGTAAAGCAACCTGGAATCGAAAGTAAAGCATGTTTAGACTGAGAACTGACAAAACACAAAAAAGTATTGCGGTGTATCATTCCAGTTTTAGGACCTCGCGCCAGCACTCAGCACATGCACAAAAGACAAAAAGTATCGTGGTGTATCATTCCACGCGCTAGTGTTTGATTCATTCTCATCTTGCAATTTGGTGAGTGGTGGAGCGAGGCCCTTAGTCAGTTTGCTAACTTCGCTTTGGTTTCGATTTCTGCATATTGTGTTGTTCTCCGTACGGTTTCTTTGTGGCTAGATCACTTTGTCCTCATCTGGACGAGTTCACAGGACCTTGTCATATCCAGAGACCTCTGGTGTGTACTGTTTCACGTACGTTTCTGGGCCAGCTCGTTTTGAGGCTGGGCCTGTGTCCGACTTTTTGTGCTAGACCCGTTTCTTTTTTTTTGTCTTCTAGGCGCTGTTGCTGAGACAGCAAGGAACGGCGTGGACCTGAGCAGGGACCTAGGCCACACGTTTTCAGGCCCAAGATAAAGTTTGGTCACACGGCCTTTCACCTGGACAACCGCATCTTCATGAGACCGGAAGGCCCAGATGGGAGGCCAGCCTGGTTGGTGGTCGGCCCAGTAGTACTTGTACCTAGGAGAGGTCGACCTACTGATAGTAGTCGATAGGTACTTCACACTTCATTCATAGGCCACCAGGCTGCACGAGTTTGAGCAGCCCCGCGCTAGTGGAGGCAGGAGGAGCTCAGTCTCAGAGGAATAGAGTAGCACTGCTGAGGTGGAGAGCAGAGATGAGGTGCTGGTGGAGTCCACTCATCCAGTGCCATATCCTGGAGATCTACAGCCAATCATAGCCGGCCTTGTATCATCTTCACGTGTATGTGTGTGTGTGTGTGTGCATGTGTGTGCATGTGTGTGTGTGTGTGTGTGTGTGTGTGTGTGTGTG